AAAAAAAAAAAAAAAAAAAAAAAAAAAAAAAAAAAAAAGTCTCTTTGCTTATTTTAGCTTGTGATAAAAATCTTTATTTTTAATTATTATATGTATGTATATACTAATGACTGCTGATAAAGGGCCCAGGGATGAACCTCTATTTGTTTATCTAATAATAAATGGCCAGTCCTGAAATCATATACATACAAGCAACACTTAATCAACTCAGTAGGTTGCATTTTGTATATTTATGTTTATGTATGCACTTATAATAGTAATAATTAAGGAAAAGGGAGGGTATTAATTTGAAAAAGAATAAGAGAAAGGGTTGAAAAGAGGAAAGGGATGAGTGGAAATTTGCTTATTGTTAATTTGCTTTTGATATAGAGTCCTGACTATATAGCTCTGGCTAACCTGAAGTTCCCTGTGCAGACCAGACTGTCCTACACACTCATATCTGCCTGTCTCTGCTTAGAGTGCTGGGATGAAGGCATGCACTACAACATCTGACCTATATATTTTTATTAAAATCAATATTAAGAAATAAATAAAACAAATATTTAATAGTATATTTTTGAAAATATAACATATTTTGAAATATTGGCTGCATATTTCAGGGGCCAAAAAGTGGTAAAAGCTCAATTAACTTACTTTGAACTGGCTGTTTACTGATTTTCAGTCTCTCATCTGGTATTTTTTTTAAATAGAAATAGCTATTACTACCTGTGTATTCTCAGATATAGCCAATCTGATGAGAAGATTCCCTTGTTTTTCTAGGTGTATTCTCTTTTAGCTCATATGTCTAATTATTTTCCCAACCTGGCATTATGAACTTCACAAGTAATTAAGTTTGTGTTTCATTAGAGCTGACTTTGATCAATAGAAGGAATCAGGGAAATGTCGGGAGGAGGAGAAGAAAAGTAGCTCTGTGTCCTCATCCCCTTCTCATCTTAATATGAGCATGTTAAGGTTTCTTTGTCCATACACAAAGAACTTCTCCCTGAGTGTTTCTTGCAGAAGAAAGCAGTATAAGATGTTCTTTCCGGCTCAAGCTCTCAATGGCTCTGGAGCCAGTATCACTGTCCCTGATCCTGGGACCTCCAAGTGGGGATTTTTTCTGCCGTAAGCTTGCTTCATTTTCATTAAATTCAGTTTTTAAGGTCACCTTTGTTCTCATTTATTATTAGATCCTAAGCTTAGACAATAGAGCAGAACCTTGCTTTATGCCATTCTCCAATCTAGACCAGGGTAACACATGCTACATATTTAATACATATTACATACAGCAGGGTAAAATTTGTCACAATAGCTATTTTCTGTTTTGTTAAATGTTTGAAGTATTTCTGGTGTGTCACTGTTAGAGGTTAGAGGGACAAATGGATCGCCCTCTGTCTGGGTCCTGATTCAATTGCTCAATTGAGAGTCATATGACAGTCAAATACTATAATTACTGGCAATATGGCAGGCAAATTTGAGTTTGACCATGTTGCTTAGGAATGATTTTCTCTTCTGCCCTCTGTATGGACATGACCTAGGTACAACAAGATTGAACACCCAATATCAAGTCCTATAATCCTTTGCATAGGCAGGAATGCAAGATAGAGGAACCATGTGTTATTGGCAGGTGTACAGTTTGGCAAAACGTTGACAACACATGAAAATTGTAGAGATGTTCATATATAAACACTCAAAGGAGTAGCACCTTTTCAGAGATACGTATTTATAATTGCATGAAGTATATCATCAGGATTTCATATCAACAGGGAAGCAGAAATACACAATTATTCCTTCAGAACAGAACAGATGCATATGCTATGAATAGAGGGTATATGGACAAGGACTATATGAGTGAAGAGTGCACCTAAATAAATTAGTGTGTAGAAGTCTAACCCTGTGAATGAAAACACAATTGCAAAAAAGAAATAACCAATTTCCTTCTGTGAAGGTGGAAATCTATTTTATAAAAACTGTGTGTGCTTTGTTAACTATGTTATATTAATCTATGGACATATAAACAACTAGCCACTGAGGCAATTATACAGAGGGTCTAGAAACTTTCAGGTATTTACTGCAGGAAATGAGGACAAAAACAGAGCCAACCAGGTAGAACTTCTATTTCAAATACTAGAAACGACTGTGACATCATGTGAAAATCTGATAGAAATGACTTAAATTTACAAGGAGACATTTCATATCATATTTTTGTCTGTGAGTGAGCTGTAAATAGTTTGTTTTAAATTTTAAAAAAGTGGCAACATGCTGTGCTGGAAAGATGACTCATCAGTTGATGCACTGGTATATTCTTCCTGAGGATCTGAATTTGATTCCTATCACCCACATGGCAGCCAACAACCACATGTTAACTCCAGTTCCAGGGCATTCTTCATTCTTTTCTGGCCTGCACAGGAAGTACATACATCTGGTACACAAAATCATATGCAGGGAAAACACTCATTTACATAAAATAAAAAGTAAATAATCTCAAAAAGTAAAATCTTAAAATAAAACAAGCTAACATTTCAACAATATGAAAATTAGAGAATGGAAAACCTATGCCTTTGAATATAATAGTATTTACATATATAGGTAGAAGAAGAAATGGTTTAATTATTAATAATGCTAAATGAATAGGAAAAGTATGAACATTTTAATATTAAAACAGGCAAAAGATGGGGATATGTCACAAGAGAAATCTAAAATCGACACACAAATGAGACTGTTAAAATATAAGGAGTTTTATGCACAAAATAGCTGTACACTAATACAGCTAAAGAATCAAATTACTGTTTATTTGGAAACACCAGACAATGGTGATGAAAGAGGAGAGGAACAGAGGCACAATGATGAGAGTGCAAGTTCAATAACAGAAGAACACCAAGCCCTGCCAAGGGAAAATTGGCATTTCCATCAAGATCATATGGATAGAGATTCTGTCAGATCAATAAAATCATTTGAAAGGTCTATCTTGCAATAATAGTCTGAGATAAATCTCTGAAAAATT